TCCGAGCTGCTCGTTTCTGACACACTACATGTGTGTGTGTGTGTCTATGCATGCATCCGCCCTTGAATACATGTGCCATGTCTGTTGCTTGTAAAATGGCTGTGCTCCACCACGTGCGCCATGCGAGCTCATGGGCGAAAGTCACTGCGACTCAGACTCCTTCTCTTTCAGCTGCAGGGGACCGGGAAGGTGGGTCCCGGCCTCAAGGCCTCGTCCCCCAGTCGTGGGCTTCAGGGGCCTTTAATTCCCATCCTCCATCTCACCGCATGCTGCGTCCTTTCCGTCTGACGCGAGGTCGGAGGCCCCCAGATCTGCATCGTCTCATCTATAGGATTGTCTGCCGTTCCCGCTGTCTGGCATACATTCGCCGCAACGCATCATCTCATCTTCGTTCACATCACCATTATCGACAACAACAGCTTCATTGCGCTCCATAAATGAAAACATTTCAAAAGCAGTGTCAAACAAAAACTGCTCATGCTCAGCAAGGGTAGCTGCATTTTGCTTCAATATACCAAAGTGTGAGGCATATCTCTGTGTGTCACAGGCTGCCTGCATGACAATAGCACTCGAACGCACAGGAAGAGCACCATCTAATACATGGGAGTTTCGGACAAGAAGGGGTACGGTATTTTGGGTCCTTATAATAAGGATCCTACTGTTTAGGGTGCTATATTAGGGTCCCCTGTTTTCGGAAACCCCCACATGTTCGGCTATCGACCAGGCGCCTTGATCTGTCCGTTTGTCAGCCGCTCCAACATGTCTCCGGCCTTCGGCACAGATCAACTCAGATTTTGTGCGAAATTCCTGCTGCCTTGCAGCAGACCGCTGGGCTGCTGGCGAAAAGCAGAGCTCCTCCTTCTGGAGGCTCCTCCAGCCTGTCGGTGCTTGAGCGATCTAGTGACCCAAAGGACTTGGTGCACTGTCAAGCTTCCCTGAGTTCTTCGCACTTGCCAGGAACCGTGGGCAAACACCTCGTGTGCGCATGCGTGCGCGTGCCAGGTGTCTGGGCATGTTCAGGTGGGATGCAAGAACTCGAAGCGCTCGCAGAAGAAGCCCCTAAGCAAGGACATGAGTGTTGAACAAAATTACGGTCGCCTCCAAGCCGGGTCCATTGGACAACTGCAGGGTCACCACTCCATAGTCCTTGCAAGGCCGGTGCATGGATTCATGCTCCATGCTGGTTCATTGCTGCGGGGTGCTGTGTGTGAGGAGCAGGTGCCCTCAGCAGGATACACCTGAGGAGCGCAGGCGATTACAATAACAACACGTGGGTGTCATGCTGACTAAGCTGGGCACACAGTGTCTCAGGCCACTGCGGCCTGAAAGGTATGAGATGCAAGGGTCTGCAAGATTGCTAGCCTTGGAATCCACGACGTTCTATGTCGCGTGCCCCATTTCTCCCATCCAAGTCGAAGCTTCACACCTCGCAGTTCGTGGGACACTCTTGCCTTCGCAGTTGCGAAGCGTACTGCCAACAGTTGCTTGATGACTTGATGCATCAACAGCACTTGGCCCCTTGGTGTCCCACCTAAAGCGCATGCATGTGATTCTGAGTGTCTGAAGACCAGGCCTAGCAAGTCCCGGTTCCCATTCTCTGTACTGCCTCAGAGCTAGCGCAAGTTAAATCGCAAACGGAACACTTACTGCTCAAGACAGCTGAGAACTCCTTCCGGAGAGTAGGCGGCAGAGCAAAGACTTGCAACTTCCGACTCGAACAGTTTGGCCACAGCCGCCTTGATCGGGTACCGATTCATCACAACCGACGTGCCATGCCACAAGAGAAACAGAACGGTGCCTTCAGCGCCATGTAGCCTTCTGGAGCCCACTTTAGGTCTCCCCAATCAACAAACTGCGACTTGGCCTGTCCGATTACTCTTCAAGCACAAGACAAGGACTGGCCGCCAGAACATAGCTGAGATCCGTGACGCTGGACTCCGACAGCCCAAACGCAACACGATTGTCCGGCTCATGGTACTTGGCCTGCTCGGACGGATGGAATGGATGACGGTGATGTTCATGGTGATGTGTACGTACACACACACATACCTTCGACAGCGCGTATCTACGTATGTGCACATCGTACTTTGGTTGTTGTTCTCTTGTTTGCTTTCTCGGCATCTGGTGACAAAACCGTATCCTTGAACCCCTGCACACCTCGATGCCAAGGGCTCGAGTCTGCTTATTTTTGGTTTCTCTCTCTCTCTCTCTCTTTGCCTTTCTTTCCGAAGACTTCAGGAACATTGCCAGAACCTGCTGCCCCCCGTTTGGGGGGGGTCTTAGTCCGCCTCGGTATGCCAGGTCCTTTGCAGTGAGCCGCCTCCCCCCGCCATGAATCTGGGAGAGGGCTTCGACGAGGATGTTGGGCTCAGTGAGAGCTCTCTTTTGCAGGTGTCTGCGATGGCCCCAGTCGGCCACATCAGTGCTAGGAGCTGCGCTGTTACGTCACACATTGTGGTGATCGCGCCTGCGTCCCCCCCTTGGAGGTTGGCTGCTGCGTCATGAATGTGTTGAAGCTGTTGGCTGACCACTTGGGCTAGGCTATCCCCCCGGTGTTGCTTGCGCTGGGTTGGGTGTTGTAGGCTCTTGTGGGTTGCCATTGGGTCGGTGGTGTTGGCTGTTGCGTTGCATGAGTTCTGTGTGCTCTGCACCTGTTGGCTCTCTTTCTTTCCTCAGGGTTGTGGTGGGGAGTTGCGTCCCCACCGCGCGCATCATGCGCCCCTGTTGGCTCTCTCTCTCTCTCTCTCTCTCCCTCTCTCCCTCTCTTCTTCATCTCAGCCAAAGGAAGAGCTTGCAGGCCCTCCCTCGCGCACGAATGCACACTGGTTGCTTGTCCGGTGTGATAGCTTCTGACGTGAAGAGGCACGGTTGGGTCAGTGTGTTGATCGCCCTATACACACACACACTCTCTCTCTCTCTCTCTCTGTCTGTCTTTCTTTCTTTCTGCTGGGCGCTCTCTCTCTTTTTGCAGTACTGTGTGCATAAACACATGTATGTAATGTCATAACCGAGAAGCTTCTCCAAGCAAGGTTCGGCTCAGATCTTCGCAGGCAGAGAACCGCAAATGGCGATCTGAAGCGTTGGTTTGCAGTCACAGGGTCCAAGATCACTGCAAAAGACAATGAGGCCACTGCCATGAACGCAAGGACGTGATTTCCACTTCTTCTTCTGAGAAGTAGCCTGGCAGACTTCTAACGAATCCGTAAGCCATTATTCTAAGTGTTGCAAACTTGGGACTGCCGACTCGCTGCTATGGAAATAAGGCGGAACTAGCAGGAACTCCTATCAACTGCTAGCTGTCGTTTCACGAGAGACACGGCATCCTGCGGTGCCTCCAACATCAAGGCACGCCATTTGTCGTACTCAGGCCTACCGTAAGTTTCGTCCAACAATGACGAGCAGGAGAGCGCATAAGAGAATTGCCTCACTGGTGATTCCTCTGCATCGGTTGACCCGACCTAGGCTTCGTGACAGACTGCGACATGGACAAAAAGCCAAGACATGACAAGAAGCTTCCGGCACCGCAGCAAAGGCTGGCGCATGCTCCCAGCCAGGAGACAAGTGCACAGCGCCAACCAAAGCCAAGACCTTTCTGCTGCCAGAACCAGGAATTCCCCACATCAATAGTAAAAATACTAGTGCTAGTACTATTACTATGATATAGATATATCTACATATATATATATATATGTATACATATATATGTATATATATGTACATATATATATATATATATATGTATACATATGTGTAGATATATTTCTCTTTATTTATTTATGTTGCCCGGAGGGAAAGGTGCGCCTCGCCTCGAGGAGGTGGCCGCGGTCCTGGCCGCAGAGGTCCAGCTCGGGGACTTGCAGCCGCTGCCTTCAAAGAAGGTGCCGCCGGGTGCCGGTTGAGGGGTTTAGGGCTTAGGGGGTTAGGGCTTGGGGGTTTTGGGGAATTAGGGGGTTTGGGGGTTTAGGGGGTTTAGTGGGTTTAGGGGTTTAGGCTTTAGGGGTTTCGGGTTCCAAAGAGGAGAGCGTGCATGATGGCTGCTGCTACTACGTGATGTTGAGGCTTTTGGAGGGTGGTCCTCGGTCTCGGCGGCGGGGGAACAGCTCGACTACGAAGCTCCTCAAGGTCGAGTTCGCTCGAAGCCTCGAAGCTTACACTGCCTTGTGCCCTCTGCGGTGCCTCCCAGCCATACTGTCCGGAGCTCGAGGATTCCCGCCAGCCCCTTTGCGAAAAGGCGCGGTGAGAGAGAACAAGACATGTAAGCCTGGTAGGGACCCGAGCTGCTGAGGATTCCATACTTCGCGTCGGTCCTTCGGGCAGACTCTTAACGAACTTGCCCGCCTACATTCGTGCTGAAGGCTCCGCATCCTCGTATCCGCCGTAGCCCCAAGACTGTTGGGTGTAACCTTGCGAATCGGCAAATGCCTGGGAAGTTGCCTGAAAGTAGCGGCCTAAGGCGGAAGCGTGGCTTCTGCCAGCCAGCTGTCCAAGGCCGACCCCAGTAGTCCATCAGGAATCATGGCAGGATCGCCAAGTCACACCTACTGAAACCGAGTGAAGGGGTGATGAGAAGAATCAAACCTTTGGTTCTACATGTCATACTTCGGGTGTATGTGCTGTACTCCCGTGCGGGTTGGCTAAAGCCCGGGGCGGCCAGCAATCTCTTCGTGAGCAAGACAACAGCCCTTAGACGCAAAAGCAACATGCTGCAACAACGTCATTTCCCGGGAGGAGAGCTCGCTGCTTCATTCCGGGGAAGAACCGCGTCGTGAGATGCAGCGAGCATCTGCACAACGTCTGATCCGCTTGATGCGGCGGCTCTTGCCTGGTGGGACGATGTCTCAAACTTCGTCCAGCGTTCAGACCAGCCACCACCCAGAATTATGCAGGAATGGATGCCAAAAGATCCAAGAAGACTCCAACGAATTACTCCTGTCTACTGTTGCATCGTCCAGGCAGGGTATGTACATCTCCTCGATCAGCCCGATGCCGGCTTCCTTCGGCTAGTCTGCCAACTTCAGCAACGCCTGCAATTCCTTGCGCGGAAGTCACTCTTATGGCTCGGGTTGCTTCAAGACTTCAAGATTCCTCAGGCTACCGAGTCGCCGGTCGGAGAGCTTGCAACAGGTCGCAAACCCACAGAACCCTCCCCGGACCAGCCTGCTCGATTTTGGCCACCTCCTCTTTCCTTCGCAGCTTCTTGAGGCTCTGCGCCAGGAGCTTGCGGCCCTTTTGGAGATTCGCGGCCTCCAAGTCGTCGATGATGCCCAGGCTCACTAGCACAGGGCCCTGTCCCGATGCTTCGAACGCTCAACAAACACACGAACCAACTGTTTAATGCATGCTTGTGTGCACTTCTGCAAGCAAAAAATGTTTGCATGTATCGGCTTAGGGTCTAGGGTATGTATAAGCAACAAACTTCATCAGGACAATGTAACAATGTAACTCTCATCCGTTTTTCCTTTCTTTTAATGATGCGGCTGCTGGTGATTTACGTAGTTTGTGGATGGGTCCAAACATTCTCCAGCAAAACGCCTGTGATCGGAGTATGATAAGGTTCACCCAGACCCCATCCGTTCCCACATCTAAGCAGTCTGCCAAACCTCGCTGAGAATAGACTTGGCGGGCTTGGGTTTAGGGTTTAGGGTTTAGGGTTTTAGGGTTTAGGGGCTGCCGGGTTTAAAGCTCAGGCTTTGGCTTCGAGCGAGGGTTTGAAGACGGACGACGCTGACGATGATCTTCTTGATACTGATGATGGTGATTATGATGATGGGGCTGGTGATGCTTGTTATGATGGTTCTGACGATGGTGAGAATGATGATGATGACTGTTATTAGGGTGCTTGATGACGGCTATGACGATGATTATGATGATGACTATGGTGAGCATGACTACTTGTGACTGCCCTATGACTGCTATCTGCTATGACTCACATTTGCTGACCACTAGAGGAACAAGTCCTAGAATCCATAGCCCCTAGACAATCGCAGCAACAACAACAACAACAACAACAACACCTAGACCAAGACCTCGACCAACATTGTAAAGTGTATCTACTTATAAAATTGTCGCGCCTCCCGAAAAACCTCGAAAATGGACAACACATCGGCAGGCGTGACGCTTTCGCCACAACACGGCAAAGATCAAAAGCGTCGGGTTTCGCATGCGAAAACCAGCAAAACAACACTACAAATTCTGATGGCTGTTTTCAACCACGGACATGTGTCTAAAACCCACGCGAATTACTATAAACAAAGCAAAACAGCCTGAATCTGAAGACTCCACATACCTGTTAATGACACAGTATCTATGCATGTGTGTATATATACATATACATACGATGCATATTCTAACCCGCTCCAAGTGCCGAAGAAATCCCCTATTTCAGGATACCTTTGTAAAGCAATGGCATTTACTCTCCTCCCGTGCTGGCCCCGCGTCAAAGCCAAGACCGTCATCATAATGTGTATCATAATCGGCTCCCTATAATTAGGACCGTCATCACCATCTGCATCGGAATCATTTCCCTGCTAGACCGGTGGAAAGAGCACGCATGTCAACAGTTTGTCAGTTTGTACGAATTAAGAGCCGGAAGTTTAGCTGGGTGTCCGCTTCGATAACTGCTTTTGATACTACTTCGGCAGATGTGGCATCATGACATCTTCATTTGCAAGATAACTGAGAATCTAGATTTGACTGAACAATGCTTCCCGTCGAATATGTTCACCGTATGCAGCACAGGCTTGTGTATAGTTTGTATTTGCTTGTCTGGAGAATTATGCAAATGTAAGCACGTTTCACATCGACTATCTGCGATTTAAAACGGGGAATATGTTTACCGGGCATGCATTCAATACTCTATGTTGACAGAAAACCAGAAGCTTCATGTGTATATCATCAGAACCGTGCTTAGTCACATTCAGTTACACATGAATGCTAGTATGCAGTGTCCATGTAAAGCAAATTCAACCATAAAATGGTGATACTTGCCCAGATGTTCACTTTGGCACAAGGTATACGATTCATCCAGGAGATACTGGGAATATGCATATAAAATGTTGTGATCGCTGTATTGTTGAATACGTGTTTTCTGTGTCGTCTTGTTGGTCTCTCCTTCTCAATCAAAACAACAGCAGTCTCTAAACTTCAGCTAAGGCTAAGCTACTTCTTCTTGCATGATTACCTACATCGGCATTATTACCGCGATGATTCTATTACCAAAATTCACCAATACTGAGTCATTTACACAGGTATAAAGTAGGTGTGATACTGAAGGAAGGGTTGGAATCCTATAAGTAAGTGTTACGTGAGAAGTATCTGGTCAACAAGTACGTGCGCACTGAAATAGCATATGTTGCCATTGCAATTGCAGTTGCACACTTCTGGTCATGAACGAAATTTTAAGAACTTCTTGACATATGACTCACCATGTTCTGTAAACACAGCGTCTAAACATCGACGGAATGCTGCTCATACATTATCAGTAGGTCGACATCAGCAAACAGACGCTAGGCATATTCTGACAATACCGCAAACTTCTCCCAACGCAGACAGCTGCATATTTATGAACATTGAACGTTTCACTTTTCAATCTAGAACTTCTGTTCGCAAGTATTGTTTTAAGTGGATAGTAAACTTTGAGTACTAATTGGATAACACATTGCTACTGCAGCTACAACGACAAGTTGTCGGTTTAGGTTTCTCGGTGGCCTGGAGACTTCTAAAATCCAAACCAACCTTCCTATCTCCGAAAGCTCGGAAAGGTTCCTAACATCCTAAAATGCTTAAGCTGTCAGAAGCGACTACACCCGATTATCTAAAACATAGGGACGAACGTTTTGGGAATCTTGGAACTTGTTAACTCGAATTTACAACTGTCTCAAATTTCCAAAATGTCAGAACCTAGTACACACGATCATCCAAAACATAAAGGTTAACGCTTCGCAAATCTTGGAATTCTGCAATGTTCCAATGCTGGAAGGTTTGGATACGTTGAAAGTGCTAATTTGGGAAATCTCGGAACTGTCGCAATTCAGCGCAGGAACCTCTTGAATAATTAAGGATGTAATACCTGATCAGCTTGGCGGTGAGCTTTGGGGGCACCATGTGTTTGCGTGTGTATGTCTATGTGCAATATGTATGTATGTATGTATGTATGTATGTATGTATGTATGTATATGAGTACATATATATATATATATATGAACATCACTGTCTGATTACAGTAATGATGATCACTAACATGTCGAGTGTGTCCCGTCGTGCCGACTAAAAGGATGGTGTTGTTGACCCCGCCTCAACTTCCGCTACTAACGCCTCGATGGCCTTGGTATACGCAGCTTTATCGCCAGCATGTTTCGAAACCAAAGCGGAGACTTTCTTCTGGTTCTGGGGGAGCGAAAACGTCTTCTTGAGCTTCTCCTGTACCTGACACATCACACGGGGTCAAACCAGCAGTGGGCCTTCAAGAAATTCTGAGTGTTTAAGGCCCTTAAGGCCCTTAAGAAAAACCAAGTCCTGCCTGAACCAGCAGGTCCGGGTCCAGAATGGCCGCTTCTGTCGGAGCCTCAGTTCCGTTGACGCCCTGGCTCTTTACGACCAGCTTGTCCACTTCCACGGCCAGCTCTCGGACGCTGGGGTAGTCCAGAAGGAAAGTCGCCGGAAGCTCCTCTCCGAGCCACTGGCTGAGCCTCAACTCGACTGTTGCTGTATTAAACCTACGGAGCGAAATCTGCGACCACTAGCAATCAAATCTAGCCGCCTAGCTGGCCTAGCGACTTGTTCTTGATGCGAATCATCTCCAACGAATCGATGCCCAGCACAAAAAAACCAAGAGAAAGCTGATCCTCGGAAAGAGGATGCTGCATGTCCGCCAGGACCTCCAGTTCCGGTGGCATGACTCGATGCTCTGAGCCGGAAACTCATGGATCTAACCGATAAAGAACATGCGAAGCTCTTGCAAGCCCTCTCACAAAGCTTGCATGACCCCCCGTCGTTGCCTCACAGATGACCTCTAAGGCTGAAGTCTTCTTGCCGTCAGCCTTGCCGTTCTGCTTCTGCAGCTCTGCTGCGGCTTCTTGAACGCTCGGAAAGTCCAGCAGGAAGGTGGCTGGAAGCTCTCGACCGATCCAGGCAGACAACCTGTGGCAGACAACTTCAAGCCTAGCCGGGCCCTAGTCTCTCTGTCTGCGTGTGTCTTGGCTACCTCAGGCCTACAAGGCTCCCCTATAACTACCAAAGCGATGCTCACGCCTACCCGTAGTGGGTTGCGGCACGGTTGGAATGGTACTTAGCAGGATAGATTGCAGTCTGCGTGCGGCGACTATCATATTTTATCGAGGTGCTGGTTGCGAATGCGTACCATCTCAAGCGAGTCGATACCCAGATTGAAGAAACCCAACCCAAGCTCGTCATCTTTCACGGGGTGCTTCATCTCTGCCATGATCTCACAGAGTGCCATCAGGGCGGTCGCTGCTTTCTCTGTCGTCTTCTGCTCGCCGTTGGTGCTGCTTTGGGTTCCCAGGTCCATGTGCGACACGGTCCAGCTCTTGATGTCGTACTGGATCAAGACTCCAACGCCCCCATTATCAGCATCTTCTGGCCGAAAGCCAGGAACAGGGCGAGCAATGCGAGCCCCGTATCCAGTGTGGAATCCCAGGGTCTTATCCGCATGCTTTCCCTGAACGTGGCCAGTGACATAGCCTGCCATGTCAACGCCGCTGTCAGCAGAGTAGTTGCTGCAGCGAGTAACCCCAATGACGGTGTCCACGGTAGGATCCAATTTGGCAAGCAGTAGCGCAAATGAGCGCAGGTCGGATCCGACTCCCACCACCTTCGTCTCGGGGTCTGCGCTGATTGCGATTAGCTGAAGCACACGGCCTTTGGGATCGTGCGAAGCAGACACATCCATGAACCGTTGGGAGTCGACAGCACTCACCGCTGGCACTCGCTGCGTGTACAAGACGGCCACGACTTCCCCGTCTATGACACAGACAAAGTTCCCCGTCGGTGATTTCTCAAGCCGTGCCTTCAGAACCTCGGAGCTGGCCCGAAGGCCAGGAGCCCAGGCCTTTTCTTCGAGGGATTGAAGTTTGTCAAGGTCAGATACTTCGGCCAGCCGGATCACATATGGCTTCTTTACCAGGTGCTGGTTCATCATGCGGCAGTAGCGCCCCTGCTCCGGATAGGCCTGAACAGACTTGAAGTCGGTCGGGAACAGTCCCGCCATGGCGCAGCTCATCGCGAAGGACACCGCCGAAACCATGTACTGCCGAGAGAGGCCTTGCACAATATCAAAATGGAAAGAGACACAGTCGTTCAGGAAACGCTTCGTGGTGGGAACGTCCAGCTGCATGACCTCCAACATGCAAAGACCGTGCGAACCCTGCAAGGCATCTGCCCATCGAGCCATATGCTCTACCAAAGATGCGAAAAGCTCCAACGGAGGGATCGAATTGCCTTCTTTATCCAAGTGGACAAAGTCTGCCAGCTCTGCCAGGGCAAAGGCAGCAAGAGCGGTGTCTGGATCTATGGAAGCTTTGGCTGCAATGTACGGTCGGTCATGATCCAAAAAAGATCGGACATGCAAGGCTTTGTTCGGATCCACCTTCTTTCGCTTGAGCTGAGTCATCAAAGCAGCCGGCTTGCCGATGTCGCCGGCGATGACACGGTGTGGAACTTTATGCTCCTCTAAATTGCAGGCCGTGGCCACGCGCGACTTCTCATTGAAGTCTACGCCGATCATGGTCAGCGGGTGCTCTTCCAGGACCTTCCCTCGAGCAGTGCGATCCTTCACGTGGGTGTAGATGGTGTGCAACAAATGGCCATCGCCGCAGCCAGTGTCAATGACAAACTTGGGCTGCGCTTCGAACTTGTCATTGTCAAACACCTTGTGCACGTGACCTAGCAAATCCTTGAACAAAGTCGTGTGCTGTGCTCCACTTCCAACCACATTCAGTGTTCTTTCTACATGGATCTCGCCATCATCAGGATCCAGCTCCCCTGCGAAACCCCACCCAGGATCTGAGTAGAGAACTTCACGGAACTGTGACAGCAGTGGCGAGTAGGAAGCGGGCACATAGTAGGAGTAGGCTCTTTGCAGGGCCAAGTGCCCCTTGGAAGAAATTGAGACGATGCCTTTCGGATCCACACTCCCGATCGCCAGCTCCTCGAATATTCCTTTCAATGCCTCGCAGCATGCTGCGTCCAGCGCTTGAAAGTCTATGTTGTCAAAGGCCTTTTCACGTCCCATATCCAGTCCCTGGGCATTCCATCTGGCATTGTATGTGATGGATGTGAGCAGTGGTACCAGCACGATGCCGTCAAGCAGAATGCCAAGGGCCTTGCTTTTGGACGCCTTCCAGCTAGGCCTGATGTCCCTCCAAATTTCTATACAGCACTTGAAAGCATCGGATGGGATCTGAAACGGAGGCTTGGCCTCGGAGTAGATTCGCCTAAGCTCCTTGCTGGCTGTCGAAGTTGGCTCCAAGTAGGACAGAAGCTCTTGAAGCTCTTCACCATGCGAAGCTACGTAAGTTCCTCGGTGCCGCAGAGTCAGACACGTGGAGCGTGCTGATTCACGTCGGAAGGTCAAAATATCAGAGAAAATATGCTTGATAGGATCAACATTTCAGAGAACGCGTGCTATAAGACTGAGATGCTAGACACCGGGTCGAAATCCAGGTAGCCCAGCGCACTACAACATCGCAAAACGATGGCTAGCGGTCCCTCCTTAGCGCCGGTTTCGGCGGCCAGCTCTGCCACAGTCTTGGACGATTGGCAAGCAGGAAGGAGCTTGTCAGCGGATTCTAGGAGGAGTGGCCCAGCTGTCCAGCCATGAACCAGTAGGAAGGCGTTGGTGTTCCTCACCCGTGCATGTCAAGAAAACCTACATACATTGTGCTCTGCATGGGAAGATGTGAGCGAAACTGAGGAAACATGGCCTCGGCCAAGCCCTTTAAACGCGAACAAGCTGCAGGTCAATTCCATGACTGACAGACTCCTCCAAAGTTGCAGATAGGACAACCATCGCCTGCAGCCGAGACAGAGAGAGGGGAAGCAATGTTGACAGGGCAACCGTGCGCATCCACTCAGACGCGGTTCATGATTTCGTGGTGCGGCCACTTTATATTTTCCTTTAGTATATAGTATACAGTATGGATAATATTGAGCAGTATCTACGATATGTCACATAATCTGTTACCCTCCTGGCGGCCTGCGGAGCAGCGCTGCAGCGTCCATCAAAACCAAAAGAGCAAGGTGCTGCGGGATTCTTGCGTGTTCCAGCAGCAAGTGCCACCCAGGGTGATCCGCCTTGATGTTAGCCTACGATACTCCACCTACTGTACCAGGCCCACACAAAGAAATCAAGGATTTTCTTTGCCCTTCAGGCGATGTCAGCGAAAAGATGTGGCATTCGTTGCCGCCGAGGCATGCATCAGAACTGGTCGCTGTACAGACTAGCACTGCCTGCAGCATCCACAGGTGTCTGATCCTGACCTGGGAGGAATGTGCCAGGGCACCACGAACACGGCCTCAAGACACGGGCTCTGTTCTCGCCGGGTCTTTCAGCCTCCGTCTCAGACGCAGCCGTTGCTCAGCACGTACAGAAATGGCCAGCCATGGGCCTAATCTCGGGTCCCAGCATCAGAAACACGTCAGGCCACAAGTCCACATGTGTGATCGCGCTAAGCAGGCCGCCGGCGCCATGGGTTGTGGGGTCTCAGCCGAGTGCCATAGCCTTCTCACATGCCAGGGGGTGAGATGATGAAATGATGTGGGGGCTTAGCCAGGTCTTCTTAACCAGGCTTTCGTGTCTAACAGTGTCCGCTCACCTCGAACTTCTCCTCGAGCTGCTTCAAGCCATCCATCACGTTTGAGATGGTCTCCCCCTGGAAATGGGGCAGAGGCCGTTACGAAAACCCGGCAAGGAGAGAGGCGGCCTTTGTGTCGTAAGCAATATCCCCACTCTGGAACCTTTGTTTCCGCAGCACATCCCTTGGTTTTGGGGCACTGATTGTCGAGCCGGACTTCAAAGCTCCCTACTTCATGGTCTTTTTGCCGCTGTCGGCGAGCCGGTTTACCATCTCCACCTCAAGGATCAGTTCTGCATCGTCAGGTTCGCAGCTCGAGGCCAGCTGAAGCCCGCACGACCGGCACACCCAGCTCTTCAGACGGCTTGAGCACCTTGCAGGCTCTCACAGGCACACATCTGCCCAAAGCCTTCAACCCTGGCTTCTTGTTGCTTCCGTGATGCATTATCTGCCAAGACCCTAAGCACTGCCGTGGAATTCTTGATGAAGTCGGTCTGAGTTGAGGCTTGGCAACAAAAACACCAATGTGTTGCGCACAGGACGACCTCCGACTCACCGGAATGCACGAAGAGCCCCGCGAGCTCCTGCCGCACATGGCGGTGAGATGCGGGACAGCGAACACGTCAAGCAAGCTTGGACCATGGGTCCGTAGCGCTGCCAAACAGGCGACGGTTGCATGACTCCAAGATGTCCATGCACACCTGGACAGCTTCTGGCTCTCGATAGTGCTCACTCTGCTCTGAAGATGCACCTTGGTGGGTGTGAAGGGCAGCATCATCCCGTGATATTCTACTGGATCGTCCTCACGCAGCACTTCGAGAAATTGCAAACCCTAAACCCTAAACCCTAAACCGATTTGGCGACCCGAAGGCCGCTCCAATGTCAACGCGTGCAGAGACAGGTCTCCATGTGGGTGGTTGTCAAAATTATGGTCCCTTTTTGGGTCCTTATTATAATACGGCACCTATTATTTAGGGTACCCCAAAAGGGACCATAATTTTGACAACTACCCATGTAGGCTTGATCTTGATTGCATGTTCGTCTTGAGTCTGTCCTTCAGGACCTTGACAAAGTTCCACACTATGAATAGAACCTGTCAAGCCAGCAGCAAGTCAGCTTCTAAATGCGGGTCTGCTTGAATCTCTTTCTCTTTCAAACTTTGATTCGGCCAAGTCTGCCATGGACGAGAGTACAAGTGATTGCCAGTTTCGTGCCTGGGTTCTGATCTCTCCTCGCTGTCTCAGCTCGTGCATGACCTGCGTCACAACACCGTCAACATGGAAGCAACTGCACAGCCTCAAGGCAGGGTTTACAAGAACCGAGTCTGTGACTCCCAGCATAGTCTCTGTCCTGTCCTTAAAGTCAAAGCATGCATAACTGCATAACACAAAGCACACTTGCTTTAAGGATGCGGAATCTCAGTCAAGAGCAAGATCTCCCTTGTTCAGGTGGAGTGGCACGATGGCCTAGCAGAGCTGTGAATCGAGTTTGATGCCACTGGCTGCTGGCAGTACAACGATTCTGCAACTTCCAATGTGATCCAGAAAAGCAGTGGCATGTCAGCAAGTCCTCGTCGCACAGGCCATAAGCTAACATCGTGTACGGCCTGAAGCATGCATCATTGAGTAAACTGAATCAGCAGCCCGCGGGAATCATTTACTTGCATTCTTGCTGTAATTGTGGCTGCTGCGATGCTGATCGCTCGTGGTGTTGTGCTGTTGGGATTGACAGAGCCACCATCGAAAAGCCAGTTTCTGACAGCATCATGCTTGCAAACTCTGTCGCACGCGAGTACTACTGGCGATTGCAACACGCATCCTGCCTGACACAGTCTTCACATTCAGTCATCACTACATTGATGATGGTTTGAAGACGGCGTGGAATGGCTCAGATTCACGCGCAACTGATGATTCTGATGGGTTATGGGTTAGGGCACAATGTTGACCTGAGCCGTTGGCGAAGGCCGCCGGTCCCCGTCTGTGTCGCAAAACCTCAGCACAGTCGGAGCTCGCTGGCCATGCTGGCCCGAGTATCGCTTCGACTGCACTTGTTGAATCACAAATGCGACTACACGTAACCGGTCGCGAAGACCTGAGCGAGGAGCAGCTTCCAGGTTTCTGGAGACCTGGCCCAGCAACCGCACGCGTTAAACACGAAAGCGTGCTGCACGGAAGCACATCGGCGCACTTCTCGAGGGAGTCTCGTATTCTTTCGCAAACCTCCTTCCTGACCTTGACGAGTGCAAGCAGCCCCTTTTCGCATGTGCGATATTGGCATTAGCCCTCTCAGGTGCCAGCATCGTCGCTCATGGGGGCCTCCGCTCTTGGCCTCAGAATAGCAGAGGAGGAGCGCTCAAGCACGAAGGCTTTTTGCTGGGGCACGGACCATGCTCCACTGGAAATCAGGAAGATGTTGTCAGGGAGCTGCGGGCCAATAGCCAAGTGCAGCTGACACCATGTCATTTATCGGGGACAGAGAGCCGTGCCGCAGGATTGTGATCCTTGAGTCGCACCGCATGCTCCATAACCTCGCAGAACTTCTGATCTTAGGCGGAGCCGAACGACTATAGTCTTGCATGAGTTCAGATTTTAAGGCAACTTTGTGCAAACAGTTCGGTTTGCGTGTTTCCAAACTGTGAAGCGCGGCTGCCTGAACTTTGCCGATCCCTGCAAATGCTCCCTCCAAGCGCAAGTGCTAGTGTCGGCTAAGTTACATCGAAGGTCGACGACCAGAGCCAGCTAGTCAGCCCCGAAGGCCGCTTCTCCTCAGCTTCACGGCTCTTTGGAGGCTTAAAACTTAAAACCTGAGGGCTAAGATTTCATGTGTGACAAGTTGCCAGGGCAAGGGCGAGGTTTGAGGCAGGGCTTCGGGGGGGGTAGTATGTTAGCTCAGAAGAAACCAAGGGCACTGCGGCGGCCTGGAGCAGTCGAAAGACTCCGCCAAACCTTCGCTCCAAAATTACTGATGACGAGGCCCATCGGCGCTGACTATGATGAGGAGAGGGACGACCACCCTGATCGCTTCAATGTAGTATCCGATCATACCAAACAGCCACCTCCACCAGCGCCGCCACCAGCACCAGCACCACCGCCACCGCCACCGCCACCGCCACCGCCACCACCACCGCCACCGCCACCACCACCACCACAGCCAATCACCACAACCAATCACCACAACCAATCACCAGCGCCACCAAACACGATATCAGACATCGTCAACATCGCCTCCAGCATCACCATCGTCTTCATGCAAAGATAGTCCCCGCCAGTATGACGACCACGTCGACAATGATGGGTTCTGTCAATAACACTGGACAACACTGATAGAGAACACCTTGGCGCCGCGCAGCGACTCCACCTCCCGTCAATGCGACTCTGAAGCCGGGAGTGCAATCGCAAAACTCGCCTTGCGCCCTGCAGCATCCACACCACCAAGCAGTCGCTTTGTTAGGTCCTCACATGGAAGACGCGGCCGATGGGTTCTTAATCCGAAAGCAGGAGGGTATCCCGTGTTGTTCTTTGTCAGCTTAGTGGCGCCCTCTTCTGCGAGGTCCATAATGAGAACCTGAGCACTATGAGGTTGCAGCAGCTATCAGGCAAAAAGCATGTCTGACGATTGTAAGATCATGGCGCGGGCTTCTCGATGCTTGCTGGCATAGAACGTCGACCTGTCACCAATCACAATGCATCTACGCCAAACGGCCTTGTCAGCAAGAAGCAGAGGGGCTTACATCTGATATGCCAATGTCGTTTTGCCGGTATGGCCAATGTGACCTCAACCGTGGTGCAGAAAGCTGACTTGCCCGAAGACTGGTCCGTCTGACCAAGCATTGCAGCCGTGGGGCTTGCAAAGACATGGGTGCTGTGAAGCGGCATTGCACCTTCAGGGTGGTGTCGACTCAGAACATCTAGGCACTGTCGATGGGTGCAAGATGGGTGCAAGATGGATGCAAGATAACATAAGGCTTTGCAGCACCTTCCTCCAAGAGGTTTGGCTCGATGCCAGGGGCGGACGGCGAAAAGTCCGTGAACGGCTTGGGCCAGGCGAGCATTGGAGCAAGTGCAGCTAAATCATAAATAGGCCACCACAAGAAGAACCCCAAACAAACAGAACAGCTCTTCTTTCACAAGCTCCGCAGTTTCCGCTCTCAAGCTGGCCTTCGGCCTTACGCCAAGCTCGTGAACCTGAGATGTGGTGCTACACAGGGAGGAGTAGCCAAGCCTTGCAGATCTTTGCCTAACGAGCGGCTCAGGCCCAGCAGCAGAAGCTTCCTGCATCTTCGCTCTTCATCAGACTGGGAAAACAGGCCTATTGAGCTGGGACGCGGGTTTTGCAGTTTTCTCCGCCATATCGCTTGCCACCACGACTCGGCACTCACATTGGCACGACGATGTCAGCAGATGAAGACACGCGCAAATGCGAAATCGGAACGAACAGCCAGAATGCATGGGCAAACAGAACCATAGAGCGTTTCTGACGGAAGGTGAGCTTGCAGGGCAGGTGGCAGGCAGGGGCGCAAGGAAGGAGGGGTGCAGGTTTAGAGTATCGCTTTCAGCTGCACCCTTTGAAAATGTGGAACCCTACACGAAAAAATGCAGCGACCTGACCTGCGGTATCCGTCGAGGCGATCCACTCATGGGGTGGCATCCAAGATGTCCTCCGCGCAACTTGAGAGGAAAGTGCGCACTTTTTCCTGGATTTCTGGCCCTCAATTCGGACAGCTGCCTTGACTATTCACAAGACGGGCTCCTGCATGGATGGACCTTCGTTGACCAGTTCTGGATCGATCTCCTCCTGTTTCGCAGCCTGCGCCATTGACCCTCATGGGCCTTATGCGCAGCGTCGCGCAGCTAGAGGGATCCTCTCTCGCCGTGCTTCGGCGCGCCTCGGCCTCCGCTGTATACTTCATCAGCGTTAACTGCTTGGCCATCTTGGACTTGAACTGCCAGCATTCCGGCACTCACGCCCAAGTCAACGAATCTCTGGCTTGACTAGTCTGCTCATGAGATGAAAGGTCGCGAAACGACTTGCTCAGATCTGCCGTCGAATGTATTGCCTTCGTGCAAAATCGTCACAGCCGTATCGGAAAAAGCCTACTCAGTAAGCCCGGTCTAAGTCCGCCCTTGCGGTCCACAAGCAGGTGTGCAGCGCATGCTGGTTTGAGAATCCCCCACTGCCAAAACAGTTCGTACCCGCGCAAACGAACTGCTCACCGACAAAGCAGCGAACATGGAATCACAAAACGGGAAAACAGCGCAACAGGATGTTGCATTCTCGCGCCTGCTTCTTCACTCTGCTGTTCTGCGGCAACCTGACCTTGGAGATGAGCTGCTTCATGTCCTGGCCAGCGTCTGGTGTTCAGGGTTCAAGAGTCTTCTAAAGCACAAAGTGGGGCTCCGATGTTGCGGGTTCCGCCGATTGCTTCCCTGGGAGGCCCTGTGCTTTCTGTCTGGAACTTCCACTTTGACCCAGACATAAGAGTGAATCAAGATCGAAGATTCTGATGCACTACTCAGCATGGAGAGCGCCTCACTGAATCAACACAAGCGGAGTCGGTGGCATGCTTTCGGCGTCTTCCAGCTTCAGCTGATGCTGATGATGATGATGATGATGATGATGTTAGTCATCATCATCATCGTCATCATCATAGTGCGACTGCTGATACGATGACTACTACTACTACTACTACTACTACTACTACTACCACCACCACTCCACAGCTTCTCCGATTCGGACTACAGTATGCTTTCCGTGCGATCGAACCAGCCTCCGTCGGCATGGGATAGGTCGCTTCAGCACGAAGCCTTTCCCTGCACAACGCTTCTGGGCAACTTTGCAACTCCACCACAGGAGACCCTGATCGGCAAAACAAGTTGTACCACAATGCTCTCGTCTCGCTGTTTTCGTGGCCAGAGGTGTCCAGCAGCACACTGTACAGGTGGCCAGCTTGATCCGGGTGATCAGCGTCGCGCAAACTGCTGCATCTCCCGGGCAGGAGGGTCCTCACGCACTAATCGACGATCTCGAAGTGCACCTGCAACATGCGCTTTGATGCGGCGATTTACAATCAACTGCAGAATGCAGAAACGTGACCCGGCTGTTAGAAGTCGCTCCTTGGCATGTCGAGCTTGTTGCAAGACAAGAACGAAAGGCGCCTGCTATCACAGATGATTCCGATAGCAAAGCAAGTTCAACCACGTGAGGCCTGGCAGAAAAGGGAGGAAGCGGTTCGAACCTCACAAGTATCGCAGGAGGAAACATGCAGCTGTCATTTGGAGCTTATGTTATGCCATATGCACCTCCGCAGACACCCAACTCCACACCTCAACGAGTGCTGCATATTCTCGCACACTCACTACCCGATCAAATCTTTGAGACTGCACCGAGGCGATTGCATGCTCCGGAAATTCCGTCGGCTCCGGCTTGATCGTTGGCAGAGGCCGGCTTCCCTTAGCAGGCGAACGTTGAATTTTCAGAATCATGGGACCTGATTGAATCTGTGTCGGGATAGTTGGCCTTCTTGGAACTCCTCCAGCATTTAGAGAGATGCACCGAAGATCGGCGAAGTGGCCGTACAGTGACCCTCTGAGGCCGCATCCAAACGAAGCGCAAGCTCGGAACGCAGCTCGCCTGGCAAAGGGAACAAACCTACTCTCTTGAGAAATGCCGGGCCATGCCAGGCCTAGAAACTGTTCGCGCCGTCGCCCGGGATCTGCCATGATAACGGTAGACCTTGGCAGTCGAGGGACCTTTTGAGGATCACTGGAAACTCAAAACCTTGAGCTGTGAACCCCTGGACATAGGCTTCCGCTGCGCGCCGACCAAAGGCAGCTGCCTCAAATCCCAGGGTGCGGCCGCCCTCAAAGGGTTTGTGAGACTTCACCGACCTCTGCCGGCCAGTACAGCACGTCTGCAAATACCTGAAACAGCGAGCCTCCATGTTTGTAGTCCGAATCCGAGGGCTCTGAGAGCGCAGCAACATAATCAAAGACTTTGCCACCTCGAGACCTGGCTCTGAGATTTCAGCTGACCTGGCGATGGCCACCAGCCACCGAGTCCGGGCGCGTGGCGGTAAGGACTCCGACGAGGTCACGTCGAAGACCTGCCAAAGAACTTCTCTGCGAAGCGATAAGCCCACAACACCTACGGGCCACAAGCCTGACCCTGGAGATCTAGGCCATTAAGGTGGGCAGACCGTTGTGCAGAGTCGACATTCCTTGACAGGGGAAGGCGACGGTCCCACTGCGAAGCTGGTAGGTGATCTCAGCACGCGACAGCTTGGCTCGATCTGTTGCAAGGACGGACCGTGCACCTCCTGAATCTCGACATTACAGAAGGGTGTTAGAGAAAGTGTCCCAGGTGACCCTCCCGAAATGACCAAGCCTAGAAGTGCAGCGATTGCCACGAAGCCTGGAATCAGTGACGAGCTCGGAGGCATAAACAGACGTAAGAAGCTGAGTCTTGCGCCTGTTCCACAGCCAAGCTCCAGCACCTCTTTGTATACTTCAGCTTGCATCGAATGGAAGGCAGCATGGCTCAAAAGGCTGCCGCAGAACGGCCATGAAGATCTTCTGACAGAAGCCTCTGCGGCTCGACGGAAGCTTTGCAATTCGAACTCTGCGAGACGCAGCTCCTGTCCGCAACGAGGTACGCGGAGGGCCAGGCCTGACGAACCCTTCTTCGTGAGCTCAAAGACTCAGACTCTCGGACGCTCGGAACCGTCGCCTTGGAGCCAAATGGATCATCGTGCCCAAGCTCCTTGAAGCTGCGTGTCGCCTCGATTGCATGCCAAAGGTGTACTGCCATACTCTAGCATCACTCCACGCAGGGTGCTCTTGCAGTTGCTTCCGGCAAAGCTACAATCAGCACCTGTGCATCTCGGACTTGAACTTGTCGGGATTTGCTCAAAAAGGTCGGCTCCGGGATGCCGGTCAAAGGGTACATGGCAGTGCTCTGGGATGGCCCTCCAGCCCTGCCTGCTGGCTGTCAGCAGCCTCCAGAAGTCGCAGGGACATCTTCAGCCTTTCCGAAGTGCCGCGGAGCCGAGCCTTTTCAAAACTTCAACTCCTGCTCCCATGCCTCGGCAGTGGTACGTCCAGCTCCTGGACAGCAATCCGTGGTGAGCCTGGACTGGCAGAGCACTTGAGGTCTTCTGCGTCCGATGCCAGCTGCACTTCTATTCAAGCTTTTTTGTGGCGGTGCGCTGCTGCTGGTGGTGGTGGTGGTGGTGGCGGCGGCAGTGGTGGTGGTGGCGGTGGCGTCAGCCGTAGTCGTGAGTAAGAACTAGTCCTTGTACTCGTACTAGTACGACTACTCGTACGACGACGACTACCACGACCACCACCACTACCTACCACTACCACTACCACTTCACTGCCACCACTGCCACTACTGCCACTGCCACTGCTTGTGCTGCTGCTGCTACTACTGCTACTGCTACTGCTACTGCTACTGCTACTACCACTACCACTACCACTACCACTACCATGACCACTACGACTACCACGACTACTGCGACTACTACTACTACTACTACTACTACTACTTTTACTACTACTACTACTACTTTTACATTTACTACTACTACTACTGCTACTACTACGACGACTACTACTACTACCACTTCTACTACTACTACTACTACCACCACTACTACTACTGCTGCTACTGCTACTGCTACTGCTACTGCTACTACCACTACCACTACTGCTATTGCTACTGCTACTGCTGCTGCTACTGCTACTGCTGCCGCTACTGCTACTGCTACTGCTGCTGCTACTGCTACTACTGCTACTACTGCTGCTACTACTACTACTACTACTACTACTACTATTA